CGCCATGAAAGTATGTAAGGAAATCATGATATGCTTTTTTGCAGTGCCAACACTGAAAATATAAGGTGTGTCATGCATGACTTTTATGTGTTTTAGGGTTTGAAGGATAGCTCTACAAACAAAATTCCTTATTTTGCACTTCTCTGCTTTGCTTGGCAGGAATTCTTGTTGGAAAGAGCGAAGGCATGGTTTGCATGACATTATCCTCAATGGGGTTGGAGATAGCGGTGATCACTGACTTATATAAATATTGATACTTGATTTTTTTCACCTGACATCTTCTCATTTCTGTGAAAGACACTTGATTTTCTCATAGTAGTAGTTCTTTATTATTGTCGATACATAAATGGTTCTTTACTGAACTGTACTTGTATGTGTGTATGAACAATGGTGATTAACCTTTTAAATAATCCATTGTCCAACAGGATGATTCTAATTTCTGATTAGATTATACTATAATAATATGATTAGCAAAAATTCAAATGGTTGTATATTTGACACATACTGCAATGGGCCGAAGCCCGCTTGATATTTTGTTCAAATGCTGAAATTCATTTACAGGAGATTATAATCATTTGGGCGCTATGCATTCAAAAAGTGTGTATTTAGATAAGAAATTACATAATTAACGCAAAGATGTGTGGTATTTGTTTCAACAAGAATGTTCGTAAAGAATGATAATCAAATTATTTGTATGAGTCAAGAATTAGGTATTATGCACTTTGTATGAAATCTCAATTTTTTTCAAGAACTCTACATTTTGTTAGAATGTTTCATGTTTGATACGTATGCGTCACACGTGCACGATTACTAGTTAGCTAAGATGATGTCTTACAGAGCTGTCTTGAAAGAGCGCACATGTATGAGGTCTGACTGTAAACGTCATAGTCAATGAGACTTGGGTGATCTCTAGTAAGCTCACAAAGAGACCAGAAAGTACGACGTATATTCTCCAAATCTTGGGTAGCCTACTAGCAGCTAGGAAATTGTTAATAATTCAAGTGAAACCTGTTCACACAAAATTAGCAATTAAAGGCATAGTTCATTATCAAGTTGTGGATGGATGTAACTTAAAGCTCTATGCAGAAGTTCAACTTAACACTCTGCTGAAACACTAGTATATTAAACAAATAGCAAGAAAAGGCAAATCTTTAAATGAGTATTTGAGATCTTGTGGAGATTGTTAGAAATAAACTCCTATTTGTGTGGCTTACGATCGAATATCCATTTCTGAGTCCAGACTCATCTGTATCCGGTGAAGAGAAAATTCAAAAACAATAGTAAAAAAGTTCAAAAACATATGGATTCTTTTTTTGCATAAAAGATGATTTGATACGTGAGATCCGCTCCAAATTTCAACTCATTTGAACATATGAGTAGCTCTCAGCAAAAAAAATTGGATCAGAACAGTACATGAACAATAGACTGTTTCATAGACCCCAAATTTGTATTTTTTGCCGCGAGCTACTCAAATGTCCAAATGAGCTCAAGTTTGGAGCAGACCTCACGCACCTAAACATTTTGCATGAAAAAAACAGATTTTTTTGATTTTTTTTACTTTCTTTTTTGAATTTTCTCTTCACCGCAGATAAGCTTGGGAGCCAAATAGCCGCTGTCTGTAAAAAAATTAGTCCCCCCTCTCTCCCTCGCGCTGCCCTCCCCAGGGCGGCTCGAGGGCGTCTAGGGTTTCCCCGGCGCCGCTCCTCTCCATCCTTCCTCCCTCCCTTGCCGTCACCCGAGGCGGTCGCCGGGCAGCGCATGTGCGGGTGCCGATGACGGTGGCGGCGAGGTCTCTGTCGCTTCTCTCTCGAGGACTCTGGATCCAGGGCGGCGGCCCTTGGCGGCGTGCGCGGGAGGTGCGGTCCGGCTTCCTCGGCTGCTCGGGCGGCGACTAGCAGGCGGATTGCGGCCGTGGGGCGGCGAGGTTTCCCATCCTCCGCTCCAGATCTGAAGGTCAGGCTCCCCCTCTCTGCTTCTTCCTCCGCTGGCGCGTTCGATTTGGGGCCTCCGGCCGCTGGATCCGGTGCCGGCGGGGTGCTCCCCAAACTGGTGGTGTGGGAGAAGCCCGGGGGAAACCCCTGTTTGGTTTGTTCCAGCATGGCGGCGACGACCCTTTTTGGCGTCGTTCTACTCCCTTGAGTCACCGTTGTGGGCTCCCCTCCACACCCTGGCCAATCTTCCCGGGCAAAAGCTCGAATCCCGGATGGATGGGCGGCGGCGGCGCCAGGTGCGTAGTGTCCTCCTTGGAGACGCCGGTTGGGAAGATTGGTGCTTTGGGATTGTGTGCAGCAGCGTGTAGGTGGGCGGCCGGTGTGTGTCGAGTCTCTGTGGCTCGGTAGCTCCTTCACTTCGGCAACTCTTCCGGCGGCTTACCCTCTACTATTGGCCTCCTTCGGTGTCTGCGGTGTTGCTGATGTGCATGTGCTCCGACTTGTGGCCGTGCTTCGTGGTTGGCCCAGACTCGAGACCAACCATTGCTCTAGCTCTCGGGTAGCGTCTCTACATTCGACGGTGCGGCGCCTTCGAGCCTAGGCGAGGGGAAGGGATCCCCTTCGATGTTAGAGAGGGCAGGTGTTGGGTCATCTCCTCTGCTGGTTTCCAGTCCTGTGTTCGATTCCTCTGCCGGTTGCTGATCCTCGAGGCTTCACTCGTAGTCGTTTTGGTGCCTTGCTGTAGTGGGCTTATCCTCAACTAGCAGTTCTTAATAGTTAATCTTGTGTTTGCTGGTTGTAGGTGTAGCGTTGTAAGCTGTTCTTGCAGCCCCTTTGTATCGTTTGGCCGATGTTGTGTGGTGATCTTGTTCTTGTAATCCTAGCCGGTTGATGGCTTTGTTAATTCAAAGCCAGGCTCTTCTTGAACCTTCGTTCTAAAAAAATATTAAAAAAATTAGTCCATCTGTAAATCTTGAATTATTTGTGGGGATACATTAACCATCTTTTCTGATATTTCTTTGCAGCAAGTTCTGGTGACCCCGGTACATTGTGTTTCCTTTTTCTTTATTGAAGGCTGCCCGATCCCAAGCTATACTACTCTGACTGGGGAGGCCCATCACCAGGCCACTGGCCTTGGCAAGCTAATCGAGAAGGAAAGGAAGAGACCAGAGACGAGACGGGGCAGCAGCCAGCCAGCCAGCCAGCAAGCGGCAATAAATTTGGTTTTGATGGTATCAGTGCCATAAATTGGCGCCTTCCTGTTAGCTGGGCGTCCATACTGTGTGCATCAATGGTGCACTGTCCCCCCTCCTCCCAATTATTAGCACCGTTCCATCCTCCTTTTCCCTTGATGAGAAAAAAAGGGGCCAATCGGTTCCAGTTGGCACAGGGATCAAGACAACGCTGCGTTCCATTTCTTTTTCTTTTTCTGATTGAGGACGTGAGTCGCCTCCGTCGAATTCATTGCCAAAAACACAAAACAGCTACGAATTCGAAGTTAATGAGCAGGTAGCAGGCCTCCACAGATGCCTGTAGGAGTGTACTCGTGCTGCTCCCATCGACGTCGTAGCTCAGCTAGGCGCCTGAGCCGTCCAGGAGCATCAATGCGCGTCCTGACGTCGTAAATGGCATGTATGCATGGCCCGGCGTCGCCTCACCGCCTCCTTGTAAACCGCGACGGAATGCAGCTGGCTATGATCAGAGGAGACGCGCACGCGACGACGCAGGATCAGACGGTATGCGTGTACGTTACGGCGCGGCGCAGGAGGATTTTAACCGGCCGCCTGGGACGAGAGCCGTTATGCCTTCTTCTCGACCCTACCCTACAGGCGCGCACTGGTTCCGGGCCTGCGCCACATGAACCCACCCACGACGGCGACGTGCTGGGTCTCGGCACGCTGTAGGGAGGTCAAATGGTGGTACTTCCATACGCTGTAACGGAGTAGTACCACCACAATACACCAGGCGAACACTCGCCGGCCCGCCGCTACAGTAGAGACACGCCCGGCATCTGCATCGGCATGCATGCAATGCAACACAGCGCGATGCAGCAACGGTAAAGTGCGCGCTCTGCCGCTGATCCAGGCGTCGCCTGACGCCCCTGCGGCCGGCTCCGACGAGAGCGTTTCTTTGCTGGAAGGACTCTGGGGCTGAAGGCAACCGCGGCTGCCGTACGCGCTGCTGCGGCTGTCTGCGGCCATGCACCGGACAGACAGACAGCGACTTCGTTTTTTTTTTTCTAATGTTGGGACAGCGACTTGAGTTTTGATCAACTAACTCGGTACGTTTCGACGTTTATTTTTCGGGAGGTACGTTTCGACGTTAATCGCGTAACCGAAGCAACGTAGCGGTCCCAAAATTCGCTTTGGGTGGACGGGACCGGTCTCATGCAGCAGCACTGCTCACGTCACATTCCCGAAGGAAGGACGAGGAGGGGCAAGCAGAGTAAAACTTGACTCCATTGTAACTTGCATCATACTCCTACTACTATCGCTCTAGGAATTTGCAACCGAGTATTTAGGTGTATTCATTTTGCCAAAATCATTGCTGTTTTTCGAAAATTGTCACTATTTTGTAAAAATCATGAGTATTCACATGAAGACCCAAGAATACCCCTAGCGCCACCCCTACTACTATCACAATACTGTTTCCCTCTGTAATATAGCGGGCAGCAGTAAACGTATACTCCAACCAAAACCAGGACGATGGATCGACGACAGTAATAATTACCAAGTTTAGGATGTAATAATTGCCACCTCATAATCCTTCCCTAGAGGCACGCAGTGTCCACCTCATCATTGGGGGGTAAAGGTAAAGCCAGCCAGATCGACCACCAACTGCCATATCCAGGGAAGTATAACCATCTCCGACTCCGAGCAACCGGGCAAGCCGCCTAACCACTGCATGAACAAAAAGCTAAGGTGTCCCTACCAGAATGCAGCTTGCCCAGGAGCCCCTAACCAACCGACGCATGCCAAAAACTAAACAGAAAGGGATGTGATGTGCACAGGAGGCAGCTAATTACAAAATCTGACAACAAGGACAAGATGGTTTGCGCTTCACTCAAAGTCATTTTATCTCTAAAAGCTTGATGATGCCCTCCTCCAGTGCTGCTTCAGTTTCCAGGACGTCCTCACGCGCCTCTTCACCCTTGGCTGCATCATCATCAGCCCCAGACTGGCTTGCTGGGGCAGCAGTGCTGCATTCACTGGTAGAAGTAGAAGCAGAACTAGCAGCATCAACAGCAGGGCATGGGACTACTTCACTGGTGACCACCTCTGAAGCTTCCTTGACTTGAGCTGGAGCCTCGATCTTAACCGGAGGCTCAGTCGCCGCCGGTGGTGCGTCCTTACCTTCTGACAATGGTTCCTTTGCTGGCTGGGGCTGCACATCCTTCATCTGAATGGGCATCACAGACGACGACATCGATCCCTTAAACAGCTGGTGTTGCGCATCCTTTGCCTGAACAGGCATCGCAGATGATCGCGATTCCTTGGTTGGCCTCTGCTGCGCATCCTTCACCTGAATAGGGATCGCAGACGACATCGATTCCCTTATTGGCTTGTGCTGCACATCCTTCATCTGAACAGACATCACAGGTCTTGGACGCTGCGCAGGACCCAAGGGAGCAAAGTGTGGAGAAGCTGGCCTGATGTGAACTGGGGATGCCATCCGGACTGACGGTGGGTTGCTCAGGAGAGGAGGAAGCTGCTGTGTGCGTCCACTTGGAGGTGGGAGAGGTGGAGCAGAGAACACAGGGATAGAGCTCCTGACTGTGACCGGAGGAGCCATACTATGACAAGGCATACGGTAGTGCCCAACTGGGACATAAGGGGCTGCTTCTGCGGCCGGGAACCTCGACCTTGAATTAGAGCTTTCAATGGGCCAGAACGGTGACTGTGATGCTCCATCAGCCGCGGCTGGTGACTCTGGTCTGGATCTTGAACTAGACTTTGGCCGGAATAGAGGAAGAATCTTCGAGTAACTGGACTGAGAGGATTGACCAAAACAAGGCTTCCTCTCTGGTTGCATGGGAAATTTCTTGGGAAATGGTGAAGCATTGGGATTATTGGCCATCGCTATCTTTTCCTTCGTGCGATAGTTGAGAAGGGCTCGGGCAATCCTGATCTGCTCCTGCTCATCATTGTTCTCCGGTTCATTGGTCGTATTCGCCTCCTCACGTGCCACTGTTTCAGAGACGGAAATAACATGAGCGAAGTGCTGCTGTGTAATACTGTAATGACAATGTTACACAGCAGATATTGACAAACATATTTTACAGATGCTGTAATGAGATCAAAATAAAATCAAGCTGGCATGAGACACATCAGTTAATGGTCCATTTAGCCAGTACAGGAAAGCTCTGCTAAGTGAAATGGCATATCAAATGCACCTAGCTAGATTAGAACTTAAGAGGAATGGGTCATTCGCATGCTAGACCTAAAAAAATATTTTAGGATCACAAAAGTTTCCTTTCTTTTAGGTGAATAATGTGGTCGTAGAAACTACGAAAAAGGAATGACACTATTCTTTGTTTAATGAACAATGCATTGCAATGAATAAACAATAAAAATATACTGGTAATACTCACATTGTTTCAACGAAGCCCAGGCTGCAGAAGCAGCATTTTTTTCAGCTTGCTTCTTATTCTTAGCATGATCACCTGTAAAGGTGATCCCCGCTAATTCTACTGTGCATGTGAAAACTGGCAGATGGCCAAGGCCAGACCGCTCTGTTGTATATGAAGGCAACGGTGCCCCAACTCTCTGGGCTACTTCCTGTAGAAGGTTTTTGTAAACCCCTGTTTCATCCTGTTTAACATAAATGTACCACCAAAAGTAAGTAATGGAACAGATTATGGAGTAAAAGTTGTGGATACATGACACTACTTGCAAGATCAAAGAGAAATCACGTTAACAGGTTAATGATTAAGAGACAATGATCAGCTATTGCCCTTTCATGAACAGAAGCAATAATATCAAACAAAGAAGGAAGGTTTTCAGAATTAAAAAGGAAGATGACTTCTGAATTAGGACAATGCTGGCATATCTAATACTTCAACAGCAATGATTACCGTTTATAAAAGTTTTAGTAGGAAGTGGTCGTTGAGTTATCTATGGCTATTGGCTAATTAGAAAGGTAGTTAACATGATGGAACATCTGCTTTAGCAAAACTGATTAATCTAACCAAAGAACATGAGTAGTTTCCAAAACTACATAGATTATTCTTCGTCTTCTAATGCAAAATTGACACATTTAGAGGTGAGTTAAAAAAAACATAAGACAGATTCTGGATACAAACCATCTGATAATAAAAGCAAACAATTGTCACAGATTAGTATTTGAACAACTACTGATATAAATAGTAGCATTCCAGTCAGCATCTAAAAGACCCGAGGGCGGAGGTACTTGACCATGAAGCTCACTTAGACTAAAAGAAGTCAGAATCACTTGAACTGTACAAATTTACAAATATAACATCAATGGACCTTAAGAGGATTTTTCTACAGAAATTGTAAACAGTAGCATTTTTAACTGTGTAGAAACAATGGCTCAATACTCTGCTGCAACTACCCTATCACTATTTACCATCGCTTTCGGAGTATAAAATTTTTGTGAAAGTTTTCCCATTTTTTAATGTTTATATTTTCAATTGATGTCATAGCCCTTTCTGCAACAAATATTGTTTAACAATCATCACGAATCGGTGGAATACTAACACCATTCCTTTTATAGTCCAAACTCTGAAAGGTCAAACCCTAAATGCAGTCAACAATGAGACCTGCCTAACATTTGACTAGCAATATTTCCAAATGACAGTAAATCAAAGGGATGCAATTCACCAGAACCAGACGCCTGCCAAACAAATCCATAGCTACCATTTACAAGAACTTTGATCAGAAATATCATGACCTTCTTTAGAGAGGGGGGGCAATTGGGAACAAGCTAGTCTCGAACCAAATCACCAAAATTCCACAGAGCAGTCTCCCCATGTACGAACGCGTCGGCGGTCGCACTCAGCCCGCACCAGGATCCTGCCCTGCCTGCCTAAAAGGCAGGGGGCAAAGCGACGGCAGCCCGCACTAGCACCAGCAGCGACACCCACCCACGCCCTCCCTCCCTCCCAGAGACGAGACACAAAGAAGGAACCAAAGCACCCCGCACTAGGCAACGGCGGCGCACCCATGGCTAGCCCGAGTTGACCGCACGCACTCGGCGACACCAACGCCAACGCCGTAGTGGCCCGGCAGCACACACAGAATGGCACCACCATCCATCCAACCCCCTCGTTGTGGGCTGCGTGGGGGCCTGCCTGCCACTAAACCCCCCGGGCCCATCCGCATTGACCTGCGACGCCGGGTTAGGTGCGGGCGGCCTCCCATTCAATCCCGCCCACCCACCCCCACGCCCCTCGCCATTAATACACACCACTGTGAAGACCAAAACCTAATCTACGCCCACCCCCACGATTAAAAAGTTTTGCTCGCCACTAATCTCTCTCATCTCCCTACACGGCCGCAGATCCCAGTCCAAAGCCACACACGTCCCGTTCGCTGTCAGGTCAAACGAGCACATGTGACGCCGTAGTATTGTTAGTCGTAGCAGTATAACGTGTTCCCATGGCATCTTCCCACCGCGCGTACCGGGAAGGCTACTACTAGTCTTCACTGCAACTCGGCTTCCGCCCCGGGTCAGGTTCATACGGCGGGGTTTTACTCGCCCCCCATCAATGCGCCATTATTACTGCCCGGGTTTAGTTCATGTTAATCAGGGCTTACGAAGACTTTCTGGCGAGGGGCTGACGAATCCGGTGGAAAATCGTGGGAGTTGCGGCCGGCCAGGACCCGAGCGCCAACTCCTATGAGGGCTAGATTGAAAATTATTGGTGGGGATCCGTCGCCGTTACGTCGCGAGAGCACATTTAACGACGGATTAAAGAAATGGGATCGATGGGCGGCTTGTCGTAGTACGAATAATTAAGTCACTTAAGAGCATGGTTAATAGTATAGCCAGCTGCTGGCTATAAGGCTGGTCATAGTGGGAGTAACATAAGTAGTAACATAGATGCCACATAAGCAAAAATGGTGATGTGGCAAGTAGTTAATGAGGAGAGAGGCAAATAGAGTAACATAATATGTTACCATCACATAGCGGTTTCCAATGCATAATGAGTCTACAAAGTAATAAATGAAGGCAACTATGTTACCACACCTATGACACTACCCACTATGAAGGTAGTAACATAGACTAGTAACATATGTATGTTACTAGTCTAAGTTACTCCCCACTATGACCAGCCTAAGCCAGTGCCATGTCATCTACAGCCCATCTTATAGTCAACATGTACAATAGTAGATCAAAAGAGTGTACTACTTTTTTATTATGTGGCCCACCTTTCATTCTCACAAAGTACCTAGAAGCACGTGCTAGAGCTGGCTCTTCACGAAGAGCCCGCTTACCTTCTCTCTCCTCTTCTCTTTCTTCCAACTAAGCACAAATATACTAGTTTATTTCTTATAGCCCGCTGACTCAGCTCTATTGTACTTGCTCTAATTGCGTCTATTAGTACTGAATTATTACGTAGAGTGGGAGCTATCTTTTTTTTTTTTGGAATTTACTCCACTGTGCGAGTGAGGGAACAGATTACTTTTGTTAAATAGATAAATTTGGAAAATAGTAACTGAACTAGTACTTCATCGGCAACTTTTTCTGGGGGGATCCTCCTTTTGGGAAAGGAAAAATACGCTTAAGTTTTTGACGCGGAACTTTTCGTGCTGACTGCTTGCTCCGAGTTTGGTCATGTCGCTGACGAAGCCCCAAGCCCCCAGTTCCAAACGAGACAAAACCTAGAAGCCACGACTAAGCAACGAATCTGATCGAACTAAAAAGACCAAGGTAAACCATGTATTCGTGCAAGATTTCTCCGTGATCCCCTTCATTCCCCTGAGCGGAACTCATAAGCTACTAGTACATGGCTAATCACCCACGCGAATTCCGCAATGAGTTGTGAGAACAAACAATGGTGGCAGTAATAATTGTATGAAAGGATCGGCTAAATCCTGCCCTAGAGAAGCTCCTTAAATTCAACCACGGACAGTCGCTAGCGAGCAAAGATAAACTCGAGAAACATCCAGAATAAATCAGAGCAAGAGGAGCAGCTAGTAGAAGCTATAGGAGGGAGGGAGGGGGCGATGGGAAGAGGCGGGGAGGGGGGTCGTACCAGGATGCGGGCGGCTAGGGAGTAAGAGGGGCCGCGCCGGGCGAGCGCGGCGAGGGCGACCTCGGCGGCAGCATGCTCGGCCTGGCGGAGCGTCGTGAAGAACCCGGGGCTCTCGAATTGCTCGCCGTTGAAGATGACCGCAGCTTTGAACCGCGGCGCGTGGTCCGGCCCCTCCCGCAGGCACGTGTACGCCGGCAGGTTGAAGCAGCTCCGCTGCGCCAGCTCCTGAAGCTGGTTCTTATACATCGCCGCGGACCGCCACCCCCACCTGCCCGGCCACCGCTCCCTTGAGTCCCACCGCTGCTTCTAATGCCGGCCGCCGTGGCCGGAGATGGCTACAGCGAGAGATCTACCCAGGGGCAGAGGTGGAGGTGGAGAAGGAGGAGGGGAGAAGTGTTGAGTGCTAGGAACGGAGAGGGGAGCCGATTTATATTTTTTTCTTTGGCTTTATTTTTAGGATGGGTTTAATGCTAGTGCCCTGCAGTTATTAGCTTGGCTGGACCGGGAGGATGACAGCAGGACCCAGAACATCCTGCGCCTTTTTTATTTCTGAACTTAGGGCTGGAAGATCTGCAAATTCAAATAAACTTTAAATGCTATTTTTTCTGAACTTAGGGCTGAAAGTTCGGCAAATTCGAATATACTATTAAATGTTGCTGATTAATAGCACGGACATGAACAAAATCAGGGACATTTAAGATGAACCGGAGGAAGTAGTATCAATTATCTTGTCACATTATTATTTCGATCTAGAAACTAAAAAAATGGTTGTTCACTCATACTATTTCTCATAAGCAAGTATATTTCTTGTTATTTTTTCTTTCATACTCCCTCCGTCTTTTTTTAGTCTGCATATAAGGTTTGGTCAAAGTCAAGCTTGGTAAAGTTTGACTAACTTTAAATTAAAAAATATTAACACTCGCAATACAAAATTAATATTTTTAGATGCACCATGAAATGTATTTTCATATTATATAGTTTTAGTATTGTAGATGTTCATATTTTTTAGTATAAATTTGGTCAAACTTTGTGTAGTTTGACTTTGACCAAAACTTATACGCGGAGTAAAAAGAAATGGAGAGAGTACTATAAATAGTTTAGAAACACTAATTCTTTAATGGGAATATGTCATTCTTGAGGCGAGAGAGAGGGTCGACCGGCGGCACATCAACTTTCATGTAACTGGCAAGTTCTTTCTTTTTGAAAAACAAAAACGCGCATGATGTCCGGGGTCCTGCTGTCATCCTCCCGGTCCAGCCAAGCTAATAACTGCAGAGCTGAACTTACGGCTGGAAAATCGGCAGATTTGAATAAACTATTAAATGTTATTTTCCTGAACTTAGGGCCGAAAGATAGGCAAATTCGAATATACTATTAAATGTCGCTGATTAATAGTACAAAGTTGAACTAAATCGGCGATGTTTAAGATGAACCGGGGGAAGTATCAATTATCTTGCCACATTATTTTGATGTAGAAACTAAAAAAATGGTTCTTCATTCATGCTATTTCTCATAGGCAGGTATATTTGTTGTTATTTCTCTTTCATAACTATAAATAGTTTAGAAACACCAATTGTTTAATGGGAATATGTCATTCTTGAGGCGAGAGAGAGGCTCGACCGGTGGCACAACAACTTTCATGTCACGTGGCAAGTTCTTTCTTTTACTTTATAATTTGGAGAAGTTTAATGTTGATGCCTTGCGGACTGTGGTTACTAGCTTGGCTGGCCCAAAAGGATGACAAGCAAACCATGAGGCTCGTCATCTTTCTTGTTATAAATTTAAACATGGAAGATGGGCAAATTCAGATTCATGATTTATCTTATAATAACATTGTTGATTTTAGAGATTGAAAAATAACATGATAACATAATTTTGTTTGTGTGATAACATCTTTTCATAAACAACTAACAGGTTAGAATGATGGATATCTATTCTTCTCTCTACTAACTATAAATGGCTTAAACCCTTCTTGACATATGGGAATGTTCAGTCATCATTTCGGAGAGTGAGGCAATACATATTTTTCTTTGCCTTTATTTTTTGGAGAGGTCTAAGGCTGGTGCTCTATAATTGCTTGCTTTTTTGGACTTAGGGGAAGGGTACATTAGGGATCCAGTACATTGCTCGTTATTACTGTTCTGATTTCAGAGATGGGAGATAGGCAAACTTGGTTTTTTTTATTATTCTCATTTTAGTAATTGAAAACATAAGAAATGACGATAGATTTGGAGAAGCAATACATGTTTTTGAATGTAGGATATTTATTTATCTTCCCCTGGTAGCCATAAATGGATTCAAAAGCTTATTGCTAGATTGAAATATTGAGACATTCTTTAGTGAGAGAGCGTCGTGGAGCACATCCACATGTCGAGCCCATATATTTTTTTGTTTGCCTTTATATTTTGGAGTAAAAGTGTTGTTACTAGCTTGTCTTGACTGGACCGAGAAGATCACAACAGAAACCCATACGTCCCTGATTTTATTGATTTTAATTAAGATATTGGAGTTGGAGGAAATTTGAATTCATCCTACAACAATATTAATAATTTTTATTTTAGAAAAGCAAAATAATAAAATAATTATTCTTTCTGCGGTAGAGATAGCATCCTTTTAGAACGCAGCAAAAGGATTTGAATGCCGGATATTTTATTTTATTTGGTAATGTTAAATGGTCTGTAAACATCTATTGCCAGATGGGAATATTGAGTTATTCTTTGATGTAAATATTGAATTAATATTCGATGCTAAATATTTTTATAAACATAGGATATTCTATTTTATTAGGTAACATTAAATGGCTTATAACGTCTATTGCCAGATGGCTAATGCCAGAGTGGCAAGACGATATTTTTTTCTTTGCCTTCATTTTTTGGTAAGGTTTAATGGCAGTGCCCTAAAGTTACTAGCTTGGCTGGGCTAGGAGGATGACAGTATAGACCCAACACATTTCGTGTGTTTTACTGCTGGGAGATAGGAAAAGTTATGTTCTTCATTTTTTTTCATATTGCAAAGAGAGGCTTGACTCAGTGGTTAGGCATGCGGTTATGCAGCCTAACGACCCGAGTTCAATTCCTAGAATTGATAGGTGGTGCGCATGGGTTTTTCCCCATTTATTAAGGATCAAGCTTAATGTGTGGTGAAACCACTCATCAAGAAATATCTGGTTACTCATTTAAAAAATTCCAATCACCATGTTTATCTTGGTACTCATACTAAAATGGTTATATGCATCCCTAGTTGGTGCACAGACCGGGAAATGAAAATCTCTCCCATTTTTTGAACCTAGAAAGACCGAGTTCGTCTCGAGTCGCCCCCGCCGGTGACAGGAGGGAACCCTAGCCGCCTCCCAGCTGCCCTCCTCTAGCTCCTTCCCTCCCCTGCTGCCGCCAGAGTGTTGGAAATATGCCCTAGAGGCAATAATAAATTGGTTACTATCATATTTCCTTGTTCATGATAAATGTTTATTGTTCATGCTAGAAATGTATTGACCGGAAACTTAAATACATGTGTGAGTACATAAACAACACCGTGTCCCTAGTAGGCCTCTACCAGACTAGCTTGTTGATCAAAGATGGTTAAAGTTTCCTAACCACATACATGACTTTTTGATAATGGGATCACATCATTAGGAGAATGATGTGATCGACAAACCCAACCGTAAGCTTAGCAACAGATCATATCGCTTAGTTATTTGCTACAGCTTTCTTCATGTCAAGTACTGTTCCTTAGACTGTGAGATCGTGCAACTCCCTGACACCGAAGGAATACTTAGTGTGTATCCAAACGTCACTTCGTAACTGGTTGATCATAAAGGTGCTATACAAGTATCTCTAAAGGTGTTTGCTGGGTTGGGATGGATCAAGACTAGGATTCCTCACTCCGTATGACGGAGAGATATCTCTGGGCCCTCTAGGTAATAAAACATCGTAAAGAGATTGCAAGCAATGTGGCTAATGAGTTACTCATGAGATCTTGTGTTACGAAACGAGTAAAGAGACTTGCCGGTAACGAGATTAAATTAGGTATGGAGATATTGACGATCGAACCGCAGGCAAGTAACATATCGCCGAACAAAGGGAACTACATGCGAGATTAACCGAATCCTCGACATTGTGGTTCAACCGATAAAAGATCTTCATGGAATATGTAGGAACCAATATGGGCATCCAGGTTCCGCTATTGGTTATTAACTGGAGAGGTGTCTTGGTCACAGTGGCGAATCTAGAAAATAATGGAGGGGGGGCTGGGCTGCCTGTGCCATGCAGATATGTGTTGGGCTGGGCCTGCAAGTAGCTGAGCTAGGCCTTAAAACTAGTAGTAAAAACAAATTTTACAGCACTGGAGGGGGGGCTTGAGCCTGTTAAAGCCCCCCTAGTAGATTCGCCTCTGCTTGGTCATGTCTACATGATTCTCGAACCCGCAGGGTCCGCACGCTTAATGTTTGGTGATGCTAGAGTAGTGTTGGGATATGTATGTTGGTGACCAAATGTTGTTCGGAGTACCGGATGAGATCCCAGACATCACGAGGAGCTCCGAAATGGTCCGGAGGTAAATATTTATATATAGGAAGTCGTGTTTTGGTCGCCGGAAAAGTTTCGGGTATTAGTGATATTGTACTGGGAGTGCCGAAAGGGGTCCGGGGGTCCACGAGGGGGGTCCATCTTCCCTGGGGGGCCACATGGGCTATAGGGGGCACCCTGGCCTACATGGGCCAGGGGCACCACCCCCAAGAGGCTCATGCACCTTGAACAAGGAAAAGGGGAAGAGTCCTAAGGGGGGAGGCACCCCCTAGGTGCCTTGGGGAGTGAGGAAACCTCCCTAGGCTAGCGCCCCCTCCTTGGAAGAGGGGCTAGGGTTGCGTCCCAGCCCTTCCCATTGCCTCCTATATATAGTGGGAGAGAGGGAGGGACTGGACACACGAATTCCCACGCCCCGGCGGCAGCCCTACCTCTCCCTAACTCCGTCTTCTCCTCAGATTGGTTCCGACAGCGTTTGGTGAATCCCTGCCGGCACTGCACCACCACCATCTCCACCACCCTATCATGTTGGTTAAGATCACATCTACTTCTCCTCTCTTGCTTATTGGTTCAAGAAGGAGGAGACGTCATCGAGCCGCACGTGTGCTGAACACGGAGGTGCCGTCCGTTCGGCGCCAGATTAGATTGGATGGCGATCGGATCGTGAAGAGTACGACTACATCAACCGCGTTATATTTGCTTCCACTTTTGGTCTACAAGGATATG